GGGAGTCTTTTTTCTACGGGGATCATTTTTCTTCACGTGGTTCTGCAAATTTTTAGGGTGGTGACACTTTTTCTACGGGCAAAAGGGTCATTTTTCACGTCGAATAATGACTGGGGGTCATTTTTCGCTGTCGAAAAATGACCCCCGGTCATTATTCGATGGGGGTCATTATTCGTCTTTACACCGGTATTACTTGTGTAAATAGACTTGAATGAAAAATATTTCTTATCCTTAAAGTACATTATGTCATGAGTGGCTAGTCTTTGTTTTTACACAACATATTTTTAGATTTTGATATACTGTATACAGGGAAATTTTTGCCCCTTTCGCCCTACCCTCAATTGGGCGAATTTAAAACGAGGCGAATTCAAAAAATGTAGTTTAATTTCTTAAACAAAACTGTAACTGGGCGACTTTAAATCGGGGCAAAATTGTTTGCAAGTGTGAAAGGGCAAAAATAACCCGTATACAGTATCTTGCATAATTATACATGTATACTGTTGTCAAGTAGAGAGGTTGTGATTGTTGCCTCCTTTGTTTTATATTTCGTATATTTGAGTATTTCGACACTGCCTGACCTCGGTGGAGCAAGAAAGAGTTTCTTTTCCTCGGTTGGTTGTTGAACCCCTTGTTCATATATTCATTCACACACCATTGCACACCATTACACACCGTTTACACACAATTTATGTTCAGTGTATAAACCAAGGCAAAGCTTACTATGCACCTCAGTATTTTTGAAGTATCTTTGCTTCATTGGAATGTTGATATCTGGATCATCCTTGTACCACGATTTACGCACTTTTATTTTGGTGTTTATTTGTCCTTGATGTTACTTTTAAAGATTTAATCAGTACATAAACCCATTTAAAACATTTTTCTATAGGAAATACGTCATTTTCATCGCGAACGTTTCCCAGTTTGAAAGCTTTTGACAAAATTTAACCAAACCGGAAGTGATCTGGATTTTCGTCTAGGGTCAAGGTTTAGCCCCTCAACCAGGTTAAAAGATTGTTACATTGTCCTTCAATAATTTTAGAAACATTAAAACAAATTAAGTGGTAAGAAAATATAGAGAAATTGGTGGTGCTTGTGACAGTCTAATATCATCGCAAACAGTCGGCGTCATCCTCTAAGCGGTACACGTACGAGCTAAATGCCGACGTAAATTAACCAAAAGGCATCTGAATGTGTGATAAAACCCTGATCTAAATCTCATTGAACATATTTGGGAATTTTATAATGAACGATAATACCCCTCCTCCTTACTTTCTCCCACAAAATTTTAACGGTTTAGAATTAGAGGTAGTGCTGGTCCTATTCCATAGAGATTATTTAATGTGAATTTTCCATTTGAGAGTATATCATGTTCTTGACACTCTGCTTAGAAATTTTGACTAGATATAGGAAAATTACGCAACAAAGAACTGAAATATGCATAATTAACAATGAATGAAGGAAATTATTTATAATATGCATTTCTTTTTTAAGGTAAAAGTTGTTAGATGAACAAGTTTTCTTCAGTGTATAAACCAAATGCAGATATTGTCGTATACAAAAAAAAAATGCTGATTGGTCGATCGATATCAATCCACTCCAATCACAACTTGACAAAATCCCAACTTTTTAAAATAAATATTTTAATCTAAATCTCGAAGGGGAAACACGGAAACAAATCCTTGGCCGCACTGAAGGAGTCATTTTTCTCAGATACAGGCATCAGTAATCACGTTATGGTAAAGATGCATTAATAGGAAATGCAGAAGCTGCATCTGCGTTAAATCTCTTAAGAAGTCAATGTTTGCTGTGGTCTCTGGAAATAAGGTTTTGGCATATACGTCTTCATTAGTTCTCGGGATAGCCAGAAAATGATATCTTTAAACAAGAAATACATATGAAATACCCAGGTTAAGAAGAGATTCTTGAACAAGACCCTCTAATAACTCAGACATTAAACCACAAACATAGGTAACGGAAGGCGAAATCACACAAGTGTACGGACCAAATTCTGGTACATTAATAGCTTTCTAGATGGACCAGGTTTATTCCCTTTATTTTGATATCCCTTTTTATTTTTACTGTTCTTCGGTACAATATTTCAGATTTGTTTCATTTGTTGAGTAACTAATTTTATTGAAAGTTCCCAATTTTACTAGAGTTTTCAAACGTTTTGGATAAATTATTTAATTTTAGTTACTTTTTCAATGATGAGGTTTCTGGGAAGTGCAATGTTTATCATTGAGTTTTGCCTTTAATTGTTCATTTTCTCTGAGAGTATCGTTCATGTCTTCGGAAGTGAGGTCTGTCTGCGTACCTTTATCTTCAACATCATCACGGGTTGTTAGAAACCTGTCTACAGGTGGTCTGCTGTAGCTGTGATCTGTTTCAGGAGTTGTGGTTGGTGCTAAGTAAATGTCTAAATAAAAAATGCAAAACAATTTTCAGCCAACATCTGCACGGTTTGTATAATTATACATGCATAAAAATAAATAAAAATTTTAGTACAGATTTATCCCATTACAGTATGGATATTAGTATATAAATTGATAACTTGTGCCTCACTCTGAAATTTTCTCATTTGTGCAAGACCCTACAACTGATTCATGCACAACAAATAACAAGCCCACATTTTTGTCTACTAGTACATGGTTTGTAGCTGCTACTGAGATGACACTTGGGGCATATGTGTTGGATCTGTAAAAGACAGCTTTTTATAGAATGTACAGTATGCAAACTATAGAAAATATTAAGTCTTTTGGGTACATTTCCCCCCTATACTGCATTATAAGGACAGATCTATTTACAATAAATTTATTCCACCTCACATGGTTGTTCCAAAGACCTGGGAACCGTAGAATTCCACCTTTAGTGGCATGATTCCCGGTGAGATTGGTATTGTCCCCTAATTTCCTGTCAGGGACCCAAATCTCCCTTCCACCTTTAAAATGTTACTTGCTATTTTAATCCTTAGAGAAAAGCCTTTATATAATATTTTTAAAGTATGTTTAGAAAAGTTTGTAAACCTCAGATGTTTAGTACACATGAATGATATAGTCATATCAAATTAGGATGAGCATCAGGTGGATAATAAATAATTGTATTAAAGCTAGAGCCCTGTCTGACATGAAGGTGTCTAGCTCAAAATGCAAAAATTAATCAATTGAAGGACAGGTCCAGTGATAAGTAATTTGTATACTTCTAGTTGTTTGTATTCACTTTTGTAGGATTGTCTTGGAATCAAGGTGTCGTTGCACTTTGCTCCAATGCTCTTTCTCGCTTCTCGATAGATTTGGGTTTTCTAATAGAAACCGATTTGTAATTATTACATGAAAAAGTTCGAGGATTGTAAAATTTTCTATGAAATGTATCCTGCAAACTCTGTGATAAGTAGGTTCATAGTCCTTCAAGCGTCGTATCATGGTGTTTCATTTCGCTCAAATTTTTGGTTCCTCTTGTGTCGTTTGGAAGGGTTCAAACAAAACGTTTTCAAATCCATGGGTACTTATCGATTTAATTTTTTTCCTTGAATCAGAATTGCATCCTGTACAATTCACCAATATTTGCCCTTTGATTCGGCCCATCAGGATCTGTTTAAGTTTAGTAAAACCCCGCGTCAAAATGTGCCTTGCTTTTACAAAGTCACATGATCGCCATAGAATTAAAGTAGAGTCGTAACAGTCCGATCAGAAAAATGACGTATTATAATTTTTTGCTCATCACAGTCTTCAGAGATTCACAAGTCATATACGTTTACTTACATGTACGTATACATTGAAACTTTATTCCATGTACTTAATTTGCTTTACTTTTTTGGATTGCTGGTTGGGCAACGAACAATATGTCATTGCTGTCTGCACAGAGATCACGTGGATTATCTAAATCACAGTTGTTTATATACCAGAGAAATTGTCCATTTTGATCAATGATATGTATGATGTTATTAGCACCATCAGCAATTTAAGTCTGACACATACTGTCTGTGGTAACTCCACTTGGAGTAAAGGGTTTGTTGTATTCCTTTGTATGAGGCTTTCTATCATAGGTAAACCTGTATTGTCCTTCATTTTTGAACACTAATATGGAATTTCTGTCACTCACAATAATATCAAGGTTCTTGTTTTCTTCAATACAGGGTACATATAATGATTCATGTTTTAAATCATTGCTCATGGCACTTAATTGTATTTCTTGTGTGATTGTGAATCCACAATATCAGAACGATTTTTCTTTGATTCAACCCATCCAGTTTGTATAAAGATGTCATGTATACTAAGAGGTCATCTGTTTGGGTGCTGCATAGGGCATCTGGTGTCCAGTCCTTTAATCTGATCAAACATTCTATTTTGCCAGGTTTAACAATGTTAATACTCTTATCAACAACATCACTGCACATCAGTAGTCCCTCCCTTGTGACTGTCAAATCTTTAGGACCTAACAATCCTCCGCTGGTGATTTCCTCCAGCAACTTTCCTTCTGTGTTCATGTGTTTAATGATTCCAATTAAACCACAGCCATAGAATTCATCTGTGTTTGGAACACAAGCTATTTTGAGAAACATGTCATTGATATTTTTAATATTTATATTTCTTACTCTATGTGGCAAATCAATTGAAAGAACATGTTTCATCGGTCTCTCTAAAGAAAGAACATGTTGGGGAGCTCTTAGGATCTGTCCCTGAATGCAAGTTTTTCTTGTTTCTGGTATGTTTCCAATTATCCTGCTCAATGCATCCTCTAAAAATTCTGTGGGTCTGTATTCTGGCACTGTCAAATCAAATCTAGAGGGAATTATTCTAAATTTTCCATTTTGTGAAGTATAGTTGAGAATTTTGGATGAATCATTCGAGACAATGGTAGACTGGTTTTCAATTATTATCGATTGAATTGATGAGATTCGATTCCTGAACTCTGATTTCAAGCCCTGAATTGAATCATTATCCTCTTTTTCCATCTTCCTGGAATCACTCAGACATTTTTCAATGACATTATCTACACACTTGTGACATTTTTTACCAAGTTCATGTATAGTTTGTTGTCTGTCAACATGTTTTTTTGCAATGCTTGATGACATCGTTCCTATTTCTGAGAGAATTGATTCAAACAAAGGTGCAATACTAGTTTCAAGTTCATTTAAGTCATGTCTGATGAGCTCCAGTTTGGAGCTATAAATTTCAGAAATTCGCGACACAGCGTGATTTTCATGAGATCCAGAGGCTAGACATTTCTGACATATTGGGGATTCACATAGTTCACAGAACATTTCACATTTCTGTTCCTGGTGGACAATGCAATACGATGGAATGATTTCAATTTTTTTAAATTCAAAAGTATCAACATCGTGTTTAATATTGGGACTAGAAATCATATGATGACCTACACAATCCTTACATAGATTAACTTTACAAGTGTTACACACAGTTTCTGCAACCGACTTTCTGTCTTTTCCGAGGCAAAGTTGACAGCGTTTTACATCTTGAGCCCTGTCATGGAGTTCTGAAGCTGCCATGTTGTATTTATGAAAGAGTTTTGTACCTGTGTAACAATGAATGGTACATAACTGTCATCTCTCCTTTAAGTTACAAAATAAAAATTGCATACAAGATATATTTGTTTACAAGAATAATAAAGTAAAGTTAATTAAATCGGCTTGACATATTTAAATAAGCATAAATTATAGTCAAAATTGTCTTACCTGTTAGCCCTTATTTGGTCTCTAACAAATATGGCGTCCCTTTCGTTTGTTTAGGAAATCAATGATCCATGCATGTGTTGACTGTATCATTTCGTGCAGCGATTTAAATGACGATGGATGTGTAAAATTCCTTTACGACAGTGATAATGTTCCTTTTCTTGAATGCAAATATGTATATACGTGTATATACCAAACAATTTAATTACTAATTACTGAGTATATAAAATTTGCAAATACTTTCTCATATTTATATATTTTTGAATTATACACGTTGAAATTTTTTAAACATTTTCGATTTAAGAAGATTACAAGAAATATTTGAATACGCCCCGTAAAGGTTTTTCTATATATATATATATTTTCTGCTGGGTGACCTTATAAGAGAAACACCGACATCTTACGAACGAACGTAACCAAAAACGGGGATCAGTCATTGTGGTCTATTGTCTTCACGGTTGCACGGTTAAATTTTTTCAATTTATTGGGATTTCGATAGATAAAATTCCCACAAAATACCTCAAAACAACGTCTTGTCGTAGTCGCTACCGTGACGCTACAATACATTTCAATGGACATTTAAACGAGCAAAGGGGTCAGAGAAGGGAAATGAAAGGAAAATTTAAAAAATGTCATTCTGTGGCATGAAAGAAAAAAATAAAGTATGTACGGATCTAGTAGGGGTCGAAGGGTGGAGGGGGGGGGGGTTACTTCACGAAGGACGGTGGGGACAATAAGGAATTATAGTCTAAAACTAAATTGCAAAACCCCAAAACTTTGTAGAAATTCTTGTTTAAAATACTATATGCTGCGAAAAATAAACTTAATATGACTTAAATACACAGGTATTATAGCCATATTATAAATCCAGGAGGATGCCGTGGTTAAAACACTATCCGTTCTATTTTACACATATACTTATTTCTTCTTTTTTTTAAACTTTATATGGGTTCAATCGCTGATCCCGAAAAATATCGAGATTCGGGAAATTAGGGCGAGTTATTCGTTCGTAAGATGTCGGTGTTTCTCTATGAAGAGATACACGGAACGTGTGAATGGATGAAAAGAACAATGTTTCCCTTTTATTCTTAAACTTGAGAATTTAACAGAGTTGAACAGTACTCTCTGATTTGAGTTTGTCAGAAAAAGGTTTTAATCACAGTATGTATATTTTAAAGGTGTCAGTCAGTGTCCTGCATTGATCCAGGCATTGATTCTGATTATATTGTTCTTCAGCTGCAGTAAACAAGGTATGGACGGTGGTGACAGATGTTTGAAGGGTTAGAAGATTCAAAATCCCTTGCGGTCCCTCAATAATTGATTTGAAATTATAAGTTGTTATACCATTTTAAAAATGTTTTTTTACCATCTGTACGGAAAAAATTTAACATTTCTAATGATTTGCCGAATGGGCATAAAAATCAATGTTTGACCACCGAGTGAAATGTTGGACAAGTCGATGAATGTTGGACAGATTACGCCACAGAATATGTGTAGTTTATTCTCATTTTTATTCAGTGGAGTTCACAGGTGAATGGACTTGAGGTCATACCAAGGAAGAATGCAAATAACATCATATATGCTAAGATGCCATAAGTGAAAGTGCTAGATATGGCTTGTGATGTCCATTATTGGAATGGTATAAGGTATTCTCGTTTGTTTTCAGTGTTTATGTAAACATTGTAACCATCATTATCAATGTACAACATCTTTCCCTCTCTAGTAATTTTAAAAGAAAATGAATGACCGATTGAATTGATTCAAATACAAGTGCAATGCTAGTTTCAAGTTCATTTTAGTCTTGTCTGGTGAGATCTTACTTAGAACTGCAAATTCCAAAAATTTGTAGTACATAGTGATTTTTATTGGATCTAGAAATTAAACTTGATATTTAAATTATATTGGAGATTCTCAATGCTGACAGGATATTTTACATCTCTGTTCTTATAGGACGCTGAATTGTGGTGGAATGATCTAAGATTTGTTGAACTCAAAAGTTACAACTTCATGTCTTATTTTCTGGGATCGGATATTAAATTGTAATCTACACAGTTCTGATAGAGATTGACCTCACATGTATTACACACATAATCTCTGCAGCATAATTTCTAAGGTAAAGTTTGCACCGTTACACATCTTGAGTCCTGGCATAAGGATCTAATAAAGGTGTTTACATATTGCATTTTTTACACTTTATTGTACCTTTACCAAAAATAAAACCATGCACTTTTTTATTTTGCCTTGCTTAATAATGTTGTGGATTTATCGAATCCAACAAAAAAGATCAAGAAAATTCAATGGGAATAATTCATATTAAAAATAAAATCAAAAATGGCTTTGTTGAATTTAAGAAGACAATTTTCATATTTGTTTGTTTTGCTATATAAAATCTGTCTACCGTACGACTACTGCAACTTTGCAGGTGATGAGCTTCGAATTGTTTCCTATATTTTGAACTCATGATCACGGCCATTTACATGTAGCAAAATTAAACAGTTGGAAATCTGTTTCATGTCAGCACGTCCATTGAAACGGAACCTCGATTTATACGGCATCAAATGAATGCCCGATCTCTACGTACAACAATGGAAGTAGAACCCGCGACGAATGTTTCAACTCTTTAGAAGCAGACACTCTTACCACTGCGCCAAGTTGGCGACAAAAGATATTTAAGAATTTTTCTATATATTGCTATGAACACACATTGTGTTCCCATCCTTCCCAATGCGTCATGCATAAAGAAACCCGAATCTACACTTACTGAGTTACCTTCAATATAATTTTTACTTTTGATGACTTTACGAAAAAGTTAGATTTTTAATATTTTTCTCACCGATTCCTTTGCAAAACTTTAATGACCCTACACAGGAATAGGCAAGACTCTAGCGACTTTTCATGACCATTCAGTCACTCATTGACATGCCGTTTTGTTCTGTTTGCTTTCAGTGAACGTTTATTCGTATTTTAATGATTTTTTCTTTACGTTTATTGCTAGTTTTCTTGTCTTTACAACAGGATTTCTGCAAGTAATTAGGCTCTCTTCAATTTACTTTTTAAAAACAAAATGGTTCGATACCAGATTTAGGCATAAAATTTAATCTCATTTAAATTTTTTAAAGAAAAAAATACAAGTAAAAGATATTAACTGAAAACAAAATTGGGAGGTCTCTAACATTCAGTCAACTGAATGATAATTGAAAGACCGTAGAAAATTCACCGGAAAGGATATTTTCTATATCCTTTCAGTTTGCATTCACTGTGCATTTAGTTACAATTTCGTTGACTAAAGGGTGTAATGACATCCTATACTATCTCCAGCTTGGGCTATAATTTCACCAAACTCGAATCTACACTTAATAGGAATCCCACCAAAAATGCTCGTTGCTTTGCTTTTCTTATGAATTGAAATATATGGGCAAAACGAATAATATTCAACCTCAAAAGTCCATTAATAATACAAATTTGAAGCAGAGCAAACATGGACCTTGTTTTTTAAATATCTTGTAATTTATATTCAAACTCTTTTAATGTATGTTCTCTAATCTTGTGATGTATGTACAATATTTCGTTATCTATCATCAGAAACTTTTTTCATAACCGGGGTAGGGTGATTCTTATATGCTAAAACATGCACGTATGTTGGTAGTTACATGACCGGATTTTCGGAATTTTCAATGTTTAGTGTATATAATTTCCTATTATATAAAACCATATATTGAAGCTTTTGTAAACATGTACACACTTACAAATCTAAATAGACACTAGACAAAATTGCTAACGCACCACTTAAAATTCTTTTTTGTGAATTGAACATTTGCCTAAACGGTATTAGTATATATAAAACGCCATATTTCTCCAATACAATGGGATGGGCAAATGTCTTGCTGTCAGGGCAAAACCCCAAAATGACTTTCTTGCCCAAAGCCATTTTCCCGATATGCATTGCGTACCTCTTTTTTGCCCAGATATATGCATTGCTAATTATCGATGATGGTCCTTGAGGTTACACCAGAAACAGTCTCCCGGTTAAAAAATCAAATAATATGCAGCTGTTGACTATTATTTCGCCTGCTAGTCATCCAATGCATCGTTGTCTATACCCAGTCCACTAAACTTCCGATTGCCCCAATTTTGTGGAACGACATTGAAATTGTAGTAGTGTTTACTTAATGGCTTGATTTTTTTTGGTCTACTAATCTATTTCTAAAGAAACCCCTTGCAGACAGCATGATGTCTGTTTTAACACGCTCACCTGGGATCAAATGCCGCATACGGTATGAATTTTTTCTTCTGATTTTCTAATTAATACAAACATAAAGAACAAAATTGAAAAGAAAAGAATAGAAAATTATCTCTCCAATTTTTTTTTGTATTTCCACAATACAACTTTCAAATAGCATTATATTCAAAAATCATTGTGGATTTTTATTAAACATTCACTCACTGATTCTTCAAAACTCTCCAATTTAGTATGGATACGGTTTTCACATTTTCTATGAAATGGCCATACTTCAAAAAACATTGTAGTTATTTATCAATAAAGACATTTAAATGCTTTATTTTTTGATTTGTTGTAGCATAATACATCAAATATATCTTAAACAAGTTTTGAAAAGTAAAATATTACTTTCATTTGTGGTGCGTTAGCACTTTTGTCTAGTGCGTTTAAGAAAACGTTTCAAGTTAAAGAAAAGAAGCAGCAAGGTATTGCAATAACCAATGTTGACGAAGATGATAATACTTTTCGGACAGCGTGCAAACTTAGAAGGGGCAACTGTGTCTCGGTCTTTTCAAAAAGTGTTTGTTCTCTGTGTTCA